TAAACCCTAAACCCTGAACTCTGATCTCCAGAAACCTTCCCAAAAAGACCCCAGGTCTTCTTCCTTACGCTCCGACCCTAAATTCAGGGACAGTAGGAGGGACCCCCAATCCTTATATATATATATATATATATATATGCCCCTTATATGGTCTAGGAGGGACCCCTAATCCCAATACCCTATATAACCCATATATACCCCCTTATATGGTCTCATAAGGCCCCTATATAATCCCAAGGGTCCCTTTAAGGGTCCCTCCTTTAGTCCCTTGACTAAACCCGAGGATCCCCCCAAAAACCCGTACACTCGAACCCCTGACTTTGCCTCGAAGTTGAGGGTTTAGGGTTTAGGGGTTTAGTAGGGTTTAGGATTTAGGGTTTAGGGTTTAGGATTTAGGGTTTAGGGTTTAGGATTTAGGGTTTAGGGTGTAGGGTTTAGGGTTTAGGATTTCGGGTTGAGGATTTTGGGTTTAGGGCTTAGGGTTTAGGCTGGCTCTCCCAAACCCCCAAAGACCGCACTCCCCTAAACTCCAGGAGCCTCGGACCCTAAGCACCTGAAGCCCTGAACTCTAGGACGTACACAACCCCAAACGCGAGGAAGCCCCAAAAAAAAACACTCAAGGTTTAGGGTTTAGGGTTTAGGGTTTAGGGTTTAGGGTTTAGGGTTTAGGGTTTAGGGTTTAGGGTTTAGGGTTTAGGGTTTAGGGACCTAAAAACCCCCAAACCCGATGAACCAAAAGCCCTAAACTCAAACCCCTGACCATCACCGCAAGGCTTTCCCGATCTGACGGTTTACCTGAAGGCTCGACCGACTCACGCAAAGGATCAGAGCTGCTGAACGCCTTGGAAAGGTTCCTTGATGAGTTTTGGGGTCGTTTATACTATAATTACAGTAAGGATCCCCCAAAATAGTACTGGGAATCATTTAGGCCGCTAGAGTAGCGTCTTGGGGTGTAGGGACCTCCTGAACCCTACTCCCCGGAACCTCCTGAGACCCACCTAAACCCGCACCGAACCCTAAACGTCGAAGACCAAACCCTGCACTCCTCCAGCACCCTAAACCCTACACCCTGTATACACCCTAAACCCTACACCCTAAACCCTGAACCCTACACCCTAAACCCTGAACCCGACACCAGTCATACGAACCCGAACCCAGCCCCCTTTCCAACACCCCCGACCTTCTCACAGTATGCCTCGGCAAGATCCGGCAAGGCCACCTCACTCTGCACCTTGGTTCCACTCTTCATATGGGTGGTTGTCAAAATTAGGGTCCCTTTTTGGGTCCTTATTATAATACGGCACCTATTATTTAGGGTACCCCAAAAGGGACCATAATTTTGACAACTACACATATGTTTAGCGCGCTAGGGTTTTCGAAGTCTTTTTCCTGGGCTACAGGACCGTGGCGTGAACCCTAACCCCTAAATATGAGTGTAGGACTTTCTGTTGGCGGGCTGTCCATGTGAAACTCCGTAATCCCTCAAGTGTGGGTCAAGTTTTTCGATCTACAATGCTGACGCCGTAATTTATGGGCGTGAACAATTAGAAGGGGGTTTCTGGGCATGGATGTATTCTACGTTCACAACAAGGAACGCTAGGGAATGATATTGCGGTGTTTCCGCAGTTGCACTGAGCAACCGCAAGGAATGACGGTGCTAATTCGATGTCTACATGCAGTGTGCGTTTTAGGGTTTGGGTTTTAGGGCATGGGGCGTATGGGTTTCATGGTTTGAAGCCTAGGCATTGTTCCTGTCATGATCATGACCATGACGACTATAACTCCAAACAGCTCGTAGCATCATAACCACGACTAGCCCTATGACGCTTCCTGCAACAGAGTGTCAGAATTCATTTGGGCAAAGATCGGGTTCGGCCTAAACCCTAAACCCTAAACCCTACCCAGAAGAAACGCTCATCCCCTACCTCATCGTCGGGCCTGAAGGGGTCTCGGGTAATCATACTCGACAGTAGCTTCCTTAAGAACCCAAAACCCAGTTTTTTGTAGGTTCTTACTATAAACCCTAATATGGGATTTTTAGGGACCCTACAAAAAGGTAGGTTTTGGGTTCTTAAGGTTTGCATAACAAGGGATCCTTTGGCATAATGCTACTACTTGTAGGGTCGGGAGACTTGGTAAGTAGGTAATAAGTAGACGTATAAGTACCCTAAAACCCTAAAAAGGACCCTGATTGGGGTTACAGTACTTATGAGTCTATGGAATAACCATGTACGAAGTCCCCCGACCCTCCAAGTAGTAACTCGGAGGGCCGCACAAACCCTAAACCCTAAAACCCTAAACCCTAAACCTAGACCCTAAACCCTAAACCCTAAACCCTAAACCGCGCACCTTTTTTTCGATGCAGCGACAGCACCTGCGACGCGAGTGAGAACCAGGCTATGGCTCGCCGTCCCACGCTTCAAGGCTTTGGGCTTCGGGTCTAGGGTTTAGGGTTTAGGGTTTAGGGTTCAGGGTTTAGGGTTTAGGGTTTAGGGTTTCGGGTTTAGGGCTTAGGGTTAGGGATTAGGGCTTCGGGTCTAGGCCTCAGGGATTAGGGTTCGGGCTTCGGGTCTAGGGCTCAGGGATTAGGGCTTCGGGCTTTAGGGCTTCAGGGTTTGGGGTTTCGGAGGGTTTCGAATCCAGGGCTTTAGGATATAGGGCTTGGGGTCCAGAGCTCCGGGATTAGGGTTTCGCGTCTGGGGCTTTAGGGTTTGGGGTTTAGGGCTCAGGGATTAGGGCTTCGGGTCTTTAGGTTTCGGGTCTCCGGTCTAGGGTGGCTGGAAGTCAACGGTTTGGGGTTGAGGGCTTGGGAGAGGCTTCAGCGTCTAAGGTCCTGTACCCTGCGCAAAGCTTCAACACTCGAGGGATGTGGTTGCGAGCAAT